GCTGTGGCTCCGAGGGAGGCCTGAGGGGACAACGCAGGGCAGAGCTGAGGCCGGGCTGCAGGGGGTGGGGTGGGGTGGCGGCTGACTCACGTCAATGGAGCAGCCTAGCAGGGAGCCTCGCTCCAGCGCCTTGAGGATGATGCTGTACAGGTCACTGGGGGCCTTCCGTAGCTCGTACCACTCCGTGACCCCACCTGTGAAGTCTTCAAAGCCCTCCGAGGTGCTGCCCCCCGACAGGGCCTCGTAGCTGCCATTCACCCTGTGGGCAGCCCGGTCGGGTGAGTAAGGGGGCGGGAGCCCCCGGGAAGGGCGCGGGTGGGTGAGTGGGTCCCGGGCAACCCACTCACTTGGCATAGGCCTTCTCCAGCAGGGCGCTCCAGAACTCATTTCCTTGCGCGGAGTGCACGAACACCAGCTTTCCATCTTTGGTGGGCAGCAGGTCATCTACCACCACGTCCACCCACTCCCCAAACTGCCACAGCTGTGGGAGTGGGAGGGGGCGCAATGAGCACCTGCTCTGGGACCACCAGGCGTCCCCCAGCCTGAGCCTCAGCTCAGCCGGTCAGCAGACTCATCGTGATCCTGTAGGTAAACTGTCCCTGCCTGGGTTTCCCTCCCTCAAAGAGTCTGGAGCAGCGATTCTCGACCTCCCTGATGCCTGCGACCCTTTAATACAGTTCTTCATGTTGCAGTGACCCTCCCCAAACATAAAGTTACTTTTGTTGCTACTTCATCACTGTCATTTTGCTACTGTTAGGAATCGTCATGTAAATATTTGATAGGCAGGATGGATTTGCATTGTTAAAAATTGAATATAATTAAAGCATAGTGATTCATGACAACATATGTCATTCTATATGGTGAAATATTTATTTCTAATGACCAATAAATGAAATTTTGTCTCGAAGGATGATGTAGCGTGGGTAACAGTACCGGTACTTCACACCAGTACTTGTATGTGGGAGTATCTGCATGCGTGCAGGTCCGCCTGGAGGCGGAAAGAGGAGGGGTGTCTCAGTTCCTAAGACCATGGGAAAGATGTTTTCCGATGGTCTTAGATGACCTCTGTGAAAGGGTCTTTTGATCCCCAAAGGGGTCGCAACCCACCGGTTGAGAACCTGTGGAAGAGCGAGTCTCAGAAACCCACTGGGGGAGTTCCGCCCCATCCGACAGCAACGACTTGATGGCGGTGTTAGTTGTTGCTGTTGATAACGTCCCTGGGGTGGGTGCGCTGAGTTACAGGTCGGGCTGCAAATTCAAGGTCAGCAGGTTCAAAACCAGCCACTGCTCCAGAAGAGGAAAAGGAGGCTTTGCATTCCCATAAAGAGTTTGCCCCTCGGAAGCCAAGAAGGGACAGCGCTAGCAAGCCCCATAGGACCACTGAGTCAGAAGTGACTGAATGGCAGGGAGTTTGGCTCCTTGAGCTATGAAGACTAGGAGTCCGAAGCCCTGGGAAGACAATGGGATGCGGTATCTCCCAGGTAAGGAGATAGAAATGTCCTTGGATCACGCCCCCTGCTACTCCCCTCCCCCTTCGAGGCCTGGGCGTGGGGCCTGGGAGAGGGTATGTATGTAAATTGATGTGGAATGAAATGAGGCTCCCCCGGACCCTTTAAACGTAAGATGGTGGGGCTGGTTACCCCGCAAATCACGGAATTGACTTGTGGGGTGCCCCTCCCGAGAGGGAGCATTCCAAGGATTGGCCGAGGGGTTGGAACCCCCCCCGCAAGGCCGAACATTTGGAAACCCAGAAACTAGTCACGTGATAGTCCAAGGCCCTAGGGCTGGACGCTGAAGGGAGGAGGCGGGACCAGGGAGCGTGGGCGGGGAACGTTGTTGAATGGGCCAATGGGAGGCTAAAATGGAGCGGATTGGCAGAGTAAGTCCGGGGGGCGGGGAAAGGGGCGGCGGGGCCACGCCCCTGCGGCTTGGCGGCTTGGAGGCTTGGCGCTGGGGCAGGTGCGGCAGTGGGCCAAAGGGTTCCGCACTGTGGATTCCCTCGGGCTGGCTCTTCGGGGCTCCTCCTCCGGGCCCACCCCTCCAAGGCGGGTGGGGATGGAATGAGATTTGGGTTACAGCCTGAAGGAGGGGACATCCCCCCCCGGGGGCAGGGATGGGGCCACCAAGGCCCCGGAGTCTAGCTCAGGTCAGCTGGGTGTGCCTCTCCCTACACCAGCTCCAGGAGACTCCAAATAGGGGCCCTGTGAGCAAAATCAGGAAAAACTGGCTTAAAGGACCTCCACCGGAGCCAGTCGCTGCAGGGCTCCTCCCAAGCTGCAGTTGATAGGGTGAGGCTGCAGGTGGGAAGGCTC